GCAACCAGGCTGAAGACGATGTCGATGAGATAAATATATTTAATCTATGTACATATAGACAAAAAGAACAAGGATAAAATGTGCCTACGACAATAAAGTCAACAAATAAGAACTTACGCCATTTCCTTTTGTGCTTCTAAAAGTTTTTTGCTTAGCTCAGCCTCTTTTCGTCTTAGTTGTGCCACTTCCATTGAGGTACCGTCACGAAAATCCTCACTAATTCCCAAGGCCTCTTTAAATATAAAGTTCTTGACTTTATTTAGTTCTGACATCTCATGGGTTCCTTTACGGTTACAAGGCACCTCGGTTTCAGGTAATATGTCTATTTTTGGAGCATTCGAATCCTCTAGTTGATTCAAAAGCAGTCTCCTATAGGATGATACCTTTTCCTGTATTTCTTCATCATTATACCCCTGGTCTTCCATATTTTTGCACAATTCTAGACATTTAGACTCAATTTTCCTTTTGCGCTCATGAAGGAGGATATCTTTATTAGGTTCCTTGAATAGCGCATTTCTAGAATCAACCTTAGAAAAATCATCTTCAGTTTTGTAGAGCTGCTTTTCTTTAGTGTTTGTAATGAAGGCAAAATTTCTTTGCACATATCCATTAGTGCCACTGCCTCTAGGGGTAGGCAAGCCTATGCCATTATACATGCCAATCAAGAATTCTAACGAGCCGGCAGGTGAATGCTACAAACATATGACTGCCACTTAAAACTCTTGGTTTAAGTAATATGTAATTTATTAAAATTCTATAGATGTTATTTTTATATTTAGCGTAGCTTTTTTCATCATTTGAAGTCCTTAATGCAACTTCATTTCTCACCTATTTGGGTTTCATTCGTTGAATGTTTTTATTGTTTCTTTATAAGATTTTTATGAATCTCAGTATGTGCAAAATATTTATATTATTTTATTTAAATTGTTTGATTTTGAATAATTTAATGAAGATAATTAAATGCGGTCTAGCTCCACAGGCATGGCTTCTTTCGAATCGGTGTTCCTCTTTTCTTGAGCTCTATAAATACTGGCCTTTCCTTGTGTCATTTTGGGGCGTACATCACTCTGATATCTTGTATAATACTTTAATTTTCTTTGTATTCGTTTTTGAGCAAATGTTACGTTTTAATAACCAATGACTTGCTTATTTCTCTCCTTCGTTTTGATGTATCCTTATCTGCTCATCCATTTATTAAAAAAATACGTTTGCCTTTATTATTCTCCAATACACCGATCCTATAATTTCATCTGGTATAGTCTTTAAATTCATTTTCCATATAGCTTTTTTGCATTAAGATAGTTGCTTATTTAAAAATCTTTTTAACTGCTATCCTATTCGACTTTTGAGCAGTTGGCAAAGTTTGTGCATACGAGAGTAGGATAATTATAATGTGGCCGCCAAGTTGATTTTAAAATAATATGTTCAAAGGTTTTCAGGGCCAAAATGTTTATGTTGAAACATTACTGTGGCGAAGGAAATGTAGCCAAAGTGAGTTAATGATAATTCCATGTAGCTCACATACGATAACCTGTCATAAACTTTTGATAAATGATTCTACTAGAGTTTTTTCTGACTATAGTAGTTACTAATTCGCTTTAGTTAATACAAAAGCATTATTTTGAATGTTTAGCTAAAAAAGAAAGGTAAGGATATTTTGTTAAATTTTAAAATGTCGCAGTCTTCTTTCGTTGTATAGAAGTTATTTGACGTTGTTTTCGCAACTAGGTAATATTGTTAGGAAGACATAGAGGAACACAACTTGTCCGGAGTCCATTGTGCGCATTATTATTTCCAAATTCTGACTGTGGACTTGGTACTTTCCCTGAATTTCGCTTGCATCATAGTTAGCATCGTCAATGAGTCTCGCCATTCTGAGCACCATAGTACAGCTCGCTAAAGATACAAGTGAAGCCCATCCTTTGACTAATTGCGTGCTAAACAGTAGTGTTATCTCTTCTTCTGCCCTGGGCTATTCAAATTTCCTATATCCTTCTAATACGCCTTCACTGTTACACATTTACCGTGCTTATTTCTATTTAGTGGGGTGTGCTCCTTCGAGCGGCATTCCTGCAAAATCTTCACATTCCACGCTGTCGTTCTCACCTCCTTCACCCTTGTGCTAAAATGTGAACCAGTGTCTGCCATATTGTTACGTAGTCCTACTTCCCTGGGTCCTATCAGAGTCTTCCTCTTGCCCCGTAGAATCCGTCTGCTATCTCTTTGGTATACTTATTTCATTCGAACCCTGACCCTCCCCATCTGTGCTACTAGAGGCGTTAGTTGCCCTGTCCTGCCTCTAGGTGAATGATTCGAGGCTAAAGCCTCTTATCTTGTCAAACTTACTGTCAGCCAACTAGCTCCAATCGCCGCCACGTCTAGTCTGTCTCTATCCCTAATACCAAGTCTATGAATTGCCATGCCATAGTCTCTTGTGTGCCACCCCACAAATTTTGTGGTACTGCTTGCTTTGATTAGATTTAATGTTGAACCATGACGTTTGTGGGTCTGGGAAAGTACACGTCCACGGTTGTCTTTGGAGATGATCATGCATACAATGGACTCAGGACTAGGTGCGTTCTTCTAAGTTTTCCTACATATATGATCAAGTAGCGAACACAAAGTCAGACAAATTTTTACAACGAAAGAAGACTGCGACCACACAAAAGGCAACACCATCTTTATCTTCATACATGTGATTTATTATGGAGATAAGATTGCCAAGCAATGCACTGATTGCAGCCGGAGAAAGAAGCCAATTGTAAGTAAATCCTGCGATTTGGCCTTTTTAAATTGTAGCAAACATTTTGGTATCGCTCCCCGATTCTGCAATCTAATGAAGAAGGGTCATTCGGGCACAGTTAATGAAATATTTTATCCCGTCTCTATCCAGAAATTTTTGGAAAGTTACGAGACTGAGTGCGTAAGCTATTTAAGTCCATTGATCTCATGACTAGATTATGGAAGGATCTAGGTAGGGTTTACACTTTGGATGATATAAAAAACTCCAAAGCGTGACCGACCAGAAGTCACAGAGGGTCCGGAATAAGATAAATAGGCTGCATGACAAGAAATTGCTTAGCTATAGGATAATAAGACAGCGCGAGACTAAGCCAACCCGGGGAAATTTTGATGGTTCTGTATTGAAGTCATCAACTGCTACAGACAAAGATAGGGCAAAGGGTAGTAAACCTATCTTTAATCCCTCGTGATTCTAAACTACGGATCGCTCAAAGAAGGGGCTACATTATTTAATAGGTAATGAATTAAAAGTTCTTAAGGATATTCTGGTGAAAGTCGTCAACATAATGGATAAATATCCAGAAGAGACAAGGCGGGAGATTGAACTGAAATAATCCCACGGATCCTGACACATCAAGAATCGATATACAGGAGCAGATTGTAGGGTATACGAAAAAAATTACAAAATAATGCTTAAATAATTTTTTAGGTGGATAAGGTAGGAGCGACGGTTGTAATGGACAAAAAACAGTATACGGAGAAAATGGAAAGTATCCTTGGCGACCGGAACACTTATCAAACAGGACACTGAAGAATATGCTCAAGGAAATGCATAATAATGGGGAAATTGACAGATCGATGATAAAATCTTTAATAAAAAATGGCACTAGACCACCGTTAGCCTACGGATTACCGAAGATACACAAGAAAGGAAATCCGAAAAAAACTATTAGTCAACAACAAGCATGGAGCAATGCATAGACTAGAAAAATTCATCTACTTTAAGCTCAGGAATTTAAATTACAGACTCTTGAATACCATTAAGAATTCATTTAAATTTTCTCAAAGGATCCAGAACATTGGGTAAGTCGAGTCGGAACTGTTAGTGAGTATTAATCTACAATACATGTACACAAACATCTCAGGTGAGAAGGCAGTAAGCGCTTTGCTGGAGATATTGGAGCGAGAAGAGGACATCTTGGAAGCAGAACATTTACGGAAAGAAGCGTTACCACGAATTATCAACCTGACATTAAGGACCACATATTTTACATTTAACGGCAATATCCACGAGCAAATATTTGGACTACCGATGGGTTCTACACTCTTACCTCTTTTGGAAAATGTGTATATGGACAAGTTGGAAAGGGAATTCAAGAAGTCACCACTGCAAACAAGAGTCCTTATGCGATACCTGGATTATTACTTTTCACGTTGATCACATGGTAGGAAAAATTTAAATGAATTCCTCACTTGCATTGATAAATTTGATGAAAGAATTAAATTCACAATGGAGGTGGAGGAGGATGAACAATACCCTTTCTGGATATTTAAGTCGTGCGCTCTAAAGAGATACTCATGAGGAGACTATACAGAAATAATTCATATGCGGGAATAATCCTTAATTTTCAGTCCCATCATAACTACAGAAAGAAGATTGGAATACTGAGGAGTTTTATCATCAGAAGCTTACAACAAGGAGTTGTACAAACTGACATAGATTTTCCTTAGTAACAGATACCTCAGAGAATTAATATAAAAAAAGGAGAGGTTATAAAAGGCCGATTTTAACTTGGATTTTATGGAAATCAGATCAGGAATCAGGATGACAACCAAAATTGGAATTTCCTGCCCTCATCAGAAGTGAGCCAGCGATTGCGAACGTTACTAAGGAAATGGAATATCAAGGTGGTAACAGAGGAGAAGAAAACACTTTTTACCAGTCTGCCGATGCAAGACAAGAGACGGACAAATTTGATTGCTTGGGAGTTTATCGCATCAAATGCGACAACTATAAGCAGAAGTATATCGGTGAAACTGAAATAAAAATCGGCCTACGAATCAAGGAACATCAACGACTCCGCCGGAACATGGATACGAAAAGACAGGAAATAGCGGAACACATGGCACTAACGGGGTACGAAATCGACTTAAAATCGACCGGAAGGTTTGCTGCATATTGTAAAAATAGGAGAAAAGGCAAGATTCGAAATGCAGAATGATGAGAAAGGAACCATCAGAAGCAAAGAGAAGACGTCCTCAATGAGCCTAATCAAAACAATTTGAAGCACGACAATTGTGGGTTGGAACACGGTGGAGACTAAAGTTATTTGGCTAACAATTGACGTGTTTGATCATAGACGTGATCCTTGAATCACGACTATTCTTAGCCAATGAGCTCTAGCTTCTACTGTTTCTTCCCTCTTTCTATCTATAATATCAAGTATATGACCTTCTATGCACAAACGTTGTGGTTCAATATTGGACCTAATCAAAGCAAGCAGAACCACAACATTTGTGGGTTGGCATTGCAAGTTATAGACTTGGTATTATGGATAGAAACAGGATATACGCGGCGGCGATTGGAGCTAGTTGGCTGACAGTAGGTTTTACAAGATACGTAGTCCATGTTGCAAAGGCATGACCATGATACTTATTCAGAGGCTTTAGTCGCGAATCAATCACCTAGACGCAGGGTCGGCAAATAATGCCTCGAGTAGCACAGATGGAGGGCAGGGTTCGAGTGAAATACGTGTACTAAGGAGATAGCAGACGAATTCTACGGGGCAGGAGGGAGACTCTGATAGGACCTAGAGAAGGACTACGTAACAATATGGCAGACTCTGGTCAACATTCCTAGCACAAGGGTGAAGGGGGTGAGAACTACAGCGTGGAATGTAAAGGGTTTTCATGA